TTTTTTTCGGGTTGTTCATGGTGCGGAGCTGCGAGAGGAGGATGAAGTTTTTGGTGGCCGTCACATTGATCGTTGGCTCGGTGATTTTCCTGCTTTTCCCGAGCGGCTCGGAGGCGGATGAGAAGAAAAAGGGACCCAAAGTCACGGCCAAGGTACAAAAACCCTGCGCTGTATCTGGCCTATTGCACTATTCCTAATGTTAACTTTATACTTAAATCCAGCGTGCCAGATTCGCCTAGCCTATTTCTTTTTGCTTGAAAACCATCTGTATGTTTAATTTTTTGTGTTTTTTTTGCCATTTGCATTTACCAGTTTTCATTGGTTTTGTGCAGAATACACTATTACATTAAGCCCTGTAACACTGCACAAGTGTTTCATAATTTAATCAAAGTATTGCATCAATGTTTGTCACTTGACCTGAAGTCTATTGATAAATCTGGGTTTTATGGTCGCTTATGGATTCTCCATAATGCATCTGCAGAACTGGTGTTTGATGTTGTGGTGTGACTCTGGATCTGATTGCTTTCGCAGGTTTACTTTGACATCAGGATCGGAGATGAGGATGCAGGACGGGTCGTCATTGGACTCTTTGGAAAAACTGTCCCTAAAACCACAGAAAATTTCCTCCAGCTGGCCACTGGCGAGGTGAGTTAGGTTTAATCCATCGTCAGGATTGATGATTCATAGTGAGTCTAAATGAATGCAATTCTGATTTCCAGAAAGGATTCGGTTACAAGGGCAGCAAGTTCCACCGTGTGATCAAAGACTTCATGATCCAGGGAGGAGATTTCACTAAAGAAGATGGAACCGGAGGTATCATTTTTAATGTTCTCATAAAATTAGAACTCATTAAGATTATCAACCTGGTACTTAAGTAATTTTTTTGAGGTCTCAGATGCCAAACAAGAGCAATAAACCTCAGTTTATTAGCTCGAGGATTATTAAAAGATTTCTAACGCCTCTTTATGTAGGTAAGAGCATCTACGGAGACCGTTTTCCTGATGAGAACTTCAAGCTGAAGCATTATGGTCCTGGTTGGCTCAGCATGGCCAATGCCGGCAAAGACACCAACGGCTCCCAGTTCTTCATCACCACGGTCCAAACGCCATGGCTGGACGGCAAACACGTTGTGTTTGGCAAAATCCTGGAGGGCATGGTGAGTATCTCCACTCCGTCCGTCTGTGAAGAAGTTGTCTGTTCTTCCATACCCATAGAAGTGCATTTACTCCGGTGCTAATTTTGTGGCTTTTCCTGCTGTCTTGAAGGATGTGGTGAGAAAGATTGAGAGCACGAAGACAGATGGGCGAGATAAACCTCTCAAGGACGTCATTATCCACGACTCTGGCAAGATCGAGGTGGAAAAGCCTTTTGCAATAGCTAAAGAGTAATTTAAGTGTGGGGGGACAACGACTCTGGGTTTAAGGGGATTGAATTTGGGGCCACTAGAGTTCTAGTGGGAAGAGCGAGTGTGTATGCGCTCATTGGAGCTCCGCCCCCTCGCGGGACCGTCACACACCAGTCCTGATCCGCAGAGCGGCACATCCTGGGTCCAGTTCAAACCAGCATTCCACACGGTCAGATTCCTGACCCACTTCAACCTGCTTTTGTAAACTAATCTTTAATAAAGGATCCAGGGTTTCTTAATGCTGTCGTCTTGCTTAAATAAATGCCTTTTTTGTTTTGGTTTCTTTTTTGACCATGAACAAATCAGACACTCTCTTTATATCATAGACATAATCTTAATAAAAGTGTCTTGGCACAGTAAAACAAAATCAGTGACAACCTGGGTCTGGAATGTGATTTTCATGAAGAAATGTCCAGTTTATATTTTACACTGAAACTTAAAAATATATGCATAACAAATTATGAAAATGAAAATTGAACACCAAACTACATTTTAATATGGTGGTGGGGGGGGAACTAAAGCATAAATCAAATTTAGTACAGCATACTGCAATGACATATAACTGCATTTGCACTTAAAATATTTACATTTAAATCTACTTGTGTGTTGGCAGGGTTCCTAAAAATAGTCTTTATTCTTTTTTTTT